CCTGCACTGTTGCCAGCGCAGGCGACGCTTCTCTTGAGGACGGTGTTTCAGATGTGGCGTGTTGTGCAGCTTACATGTGCTGGTCTGGCCCCCTGGGCTTTCACTTGAAACAAGAAATGAGGGAAAAAATTTGGAACACACTCAGTGACACACACAAACAAACACACTCATTAACAGACACACACACAGTAACACACTCACTGACACACACACACAAACACACATATACATATACACTCAAATTTTTTTTATTATTTAATTAGGTCCCTCGCTGCTTACTGATGCCGGAGCTGGGAATGACGTCATATTCTGGCTCCGGCATCAGTGCAGTGCGCGCCCACCCTCAGAGTGATGCCACTGCCAGCCTCAGGGGCTCGGAGGTGGCCAGCTCCTCGACCCCCCAGTAGAAGTGGCTGGCAAAATGTGGCCACACTAGCGTGCATACCGGGTCGCAGGGAAGCCGGGCCCCCTGGAAGCCCGGACGCAGCTGCGACCCCTGCGACCATGGTATGTACGCCAGTGGGCGTGGTGCCTAAGAAGGACCCCGGTAAATATTGCCTGATTTACCATTTATCTTACCCTCCCAGGGGTTCGGTGAATGATGACATTTCGGCTGAACTCTGACGGTTTCCTATGCATCTTTCAATGCGACAGGTTCACATGGTACAGACTGCAGGCCCCGGGGCTTTGCTAGCAAAGGCGGATGTGGAATCTGTTTTTCGGCTGCTTCCGGTGCACCCAGAGAGTCATCTCCTGGGCTGTACCTTTGATGGCTAGCTTTTTGTGGATATGTTGCTCTCTCTCCTGCTTTTAATTTGAATATTTTAGCACTTTCTTGGAGTGGGTGGTGCGGCAGGGTGTGTCCTCATGGGACTCGAGGCGTCGGCGTCCTGTCTCAGGCACTCTATTGGCTAGACTGTGTGATTCCTTACATAGGGTTTGCCATTCGGAGTTTGAGGCTGGCTTTTTCCCTGGCGTTCTTTGGAGCCATATGGATTGGGGAGCTGTGCCCCAGTCGTCTGCAGGTGGGGGGGGCTGCTCTTTGGTGATGTTACATGCACAGCGGATCAGATTTCCCTCAAGATTCACTGCTCGAAGACTGATGTCTTTGAGAGGGGTAAGTGGGTTAGATTGGGGGCTGTGCCTGGTTCTGACATTTGTCCCGTTTTTTCCATTGGAGAGTATTGTTCCTTACACGCAGATTCTCCTGTCCTCCCCCCTTTGGTGCATGAGTAGCTTTCTCTCTCACTTCCAGTTTATTAGGGTGTTCCGTTTGGGGCTCAAATTTCTGGGTATTGATGGCAGGGAGCCTTGGGGGGGCACTCGTTTTCGTATAGGAGTAGCTACTGAGGCCGCTAGACTTGGCATGCCTGTGCAGGTGGTCCAAAGAATTGGGAGGTGGGAGTCAGGGCGTTATGGTCTCCTGACATGATTTCTTTCCGCATATTCGGTTCCCCCCAGGATTTGGATCATGTGACACTCCTATGTCTATTGAGCCAGGCAGCGTGTGACAGTCCAACCTGATGGTGAGCGGTTGGGTTTTACGTCTTCCGAAGCGGAGGTTCAGTGGTTTGGTACGAGAGGCCACTCTCACAACCATTGATAACGCATGAAACCTTACCCATTAATATTTCCATTGGTGCATTACATAAGGAAGAGATTACATTTCAGGTGATTGTATGTCCTTCTTGTCCTATTATATTAGGATTCCCATGGCTTAGCAAGCATAACCCTCATATTGACTGGGCTAATGGGGAAATATTAGAATGGGGTAAGGATTGTAATGAAAGGTGCATATTGCATGTAACCAAAAGAGTGGGCACTAGTGAATTACCCATTAGAACACCTCAAAATCCCAAGATCCCTATACAATACCAAGACATTAAATAAGTATTCAGCAAGACTCAGTCTAATACTCTACCTCCTCACAGACCATATGACTGTTCCATTAACTTACTACCTGGTGATATGCCACCTAAGGGAGCAGTCTATGCTCTATATCCTCAGGAGAGTAGTGTAATGGAGGAATATATTAAAGATTCATTGCATAAAGGCCATATACGAAAATCATCCTCGTCTGCTGGTGCAGGATTCTTTTTTGTATCTAAAAAGGATGGTGAGTTGCGCCCATGTATCGATTACAGGGCATTGAACAAAATCACCATTAAGAATGCCTACCCCATTCCTCTTATTGCTGAATTATTTGACAGACTCCAGGGTGCTAAAGTGTTTACTAAGCTTGACCTTAGAAGCGCTTACAATTTAGTGAGAATCAAGGAAAACCATGAGTGGAAGACTGCATTTAATACCAGAAGTGGACACTATGAATATCTAGTGATGCCATTTGGGTTGTGCAATGCTCCAGCGGTTTTCCAAGATTTCATTAACGATGTACTCAGGGATTACATTTACTCGTTTGTCTTAGTCTATCTGGATGATATCCTTATTTATTCTCCTGACCTCCAGTCTCACCACGATCACGCTAAACAAATTCTGCAAACCTTATTAAAAAAACAACTTTATTGTAAATTGGAAAAATTTATTTTTGACCAGTCTGAAGTACAATTTTTAGGATATAATATTTCTGCCTCGGGTTTCAGATGGATTCTAAAAAACTAGAGTCTATTCTACAGTGGCCTTTACCTACTGGGTTGAAAGCCATTCAAAGGTTCATTGGTTTCGCCAATTATTACAGAAGATTTATAAAGGGATTTTCTTCAGTAATAGCCCCCATCACCAATATGACACGCATATAGTAGTACGATATGGTCTAAGGAGGCAATTGAAGCCTTTGAAACTTTGAGCGCAATTACGATATTGTCAACAGAGAATTGTTGGCCATTATTCTAGCTCTCAAGGAGTGGCGACATCTTCTAGAGGATTACTGATCACAAAAACCTGGCTTACATAGGAGATGCTAAGCGATTATCTTCTAGACAAGCTAGATGGTCTCTATTTCTTTCTCGCTTTAATTTTCTTATCACCTACAGACCTGGTTCTAAAAATGTCAAGGCCGACGCCTTGTCCAGGCAGTTTGATACTGAGGCTATACTATAGCAAGAAACGTCCCATATCATTTCCCCGGAATGTATCATTGTGTCCACTGTCCTTTCATTGTCCTCTCCACTGCTTGGCTCCATCATGGAGGCTCAGTCTCAGGCGCCCTGCAGTAAACCTCAGGACAAACTGTTCGTTCCATTGGGGGAAAGGGTTAATATCATGAAGGTATTTCACGACAATGTGTCTGCTAGTCACCAAGGTATTAATAAATCCTCTTCTGCTATCATGAGGTCATTCTGGTGGGATTCCCTCAGGAAGGAAGTTAAGGAATATGTGCAGGCTTGTTCTGTTTGTGCGGTTTCCAAAGTGTCTCATAAAGTCCCTTGTGGCTTGTTACAACCTCTTCCTATTCCTGAGGTCCCATGGTCCCACTTGTCCATGGACTTCATTGTTGAACCTAGTTCTAACGGTTATACCACCATTCTCTTGGTTGTGGACCGTTTTTCTAAAATGGCTCATTTTATTCCTCTCAAGAAATTACCGTCATCTCAAGACCTGGTACTGATTTTATACGTGAGATTGTCTGTCTTCATGGCATTCCTCACAATATTGTATCTGATAGAGGTTCTCAGTTTGCTTTCCGGTTTTGGAGGGCTTTTAATAAGCAGTTGGGGATTGAATTGTCTTTTTCATCATCTTGGTACAGCTGAGTACAGCTGAGAGGGCTAACCAGTCTTTGTAGGATCAATCCTGTTGTGTACTCTCTGGCACTTCCGGCCTCCTTGAAAATGCCTAATACCTTTCATGTGTCCTTGCTCAAACCTCTTGTTTGCAATAAATATACTGTTTCAAGTGTCCCTCCTCCTCCCTTAGTTGTTTCTGGACATGAAGAGTATGAGATCTCCTCCATAATTGATTCCAGGTTTTCTTGGGGCACTTTACAGTACTTGGTGGACTGGAAAGGTTATGGACCAGCCGATTGTTCTTGGGTTCCGGCATCTGATATACATGATGGCCGCAAGATTCGCTATTTTCATGTCAAATTTCCTCTCAAGCCTGGTCCTGCCCGTTCGGTGGGCTATCTTTAGCTGGGGGGTAATGTCACGTATTCATCCGCTTATAAAAATGTGGTTAATGGCATTTACTGTCCACACATGAAAAGTTGTGCCGAGCAGCAACCAAAGCCACAGAAGGGTTAATACTTAGCAGCAATTATGCAAATGGGAACCTGGTAACTGCCTTTGGGGTCAAAGGCCGGTTACAGCCTATCAGATCTAGAGGAGGGGTATTTAGGCCCAGTTCTCATCCTGCTCAGTGCCCTGTCGTGGTTTCCCTTGTAGTTGTCCGAGAGCGCGTTATTGATTTTGGTTATTCTGGTTATTTGACTTTGGCATTGTTTTTGACTTTCCTGTTTTCTGGCATCCCTGACTCCTGGCTTTTCCTTATCATTGTGTCTCTTTCTTTATCCCTTGACCTCGGCTATTCCTGACTATTCTTTGGTATGTTAGACCGGCCATTCTAAGGTCCGGTATGCATTATCTATCAGTCCTCTGTGTTACACAATTCTACGTGCTGGATCATTTTGTAATCCTGACAGGGATGACCCAGTTTGTCTCTGGTGGTTCTCTCAGTTCTACCAGCATAGCTGGTGCTAGGTGACTGATTATGGTCGTCTGCCGTGTTAGAACAAAAATTAGTAGTGTGGGTAGTAGAAGAGCAGGATGCACAAGCCGGTGTTTTGAAACCTGCGAAGTGTCTATAGAATAGTTCCGTATCTAATCTGCCTCAGTTGATACGGGTACCATACTGGGAGAGAGCGCCAGACACCTTGGTGGAAAATGACCTATGGTAGTCGTAAAAAGACGACCCACCATTTTTGTTCCCCAGGTCCACCAGCTTGTGAATGTAGCGTACACTTCACAAATGACATCTCTAAATATACCAAAAGCTAACAAATTCAGGGATGGTCAGTTTCCGGTTTAACCTGGAGTCTTTGGATCTGACCACCACAGATACTTCATCATACATGTAAGTCTTATTTTAGACCACATCCTGGAAGGCAATTAGTAGGGATGCTAGGTTGACATCTTTGCATTCCAGTATGTCTCTCTTAATGTGGGCTGGGATTGTGTGTGCAGGATCCACGTCGTGATAATCTGAAGAGGTAATAGTACCCATAGCCCGTGGTTCGGTTGGTGCCTGTTTAACAGTATCAAGAAGGCCAGCCTTGGTGGGGGCTGTGGTGACGGCCTCTAGGTTAGCCAGTCTATCGTTAACCTTGCCCATAGAGTTCATGCTGTCACCCGAGTTGGTGTTGCTGGAGCCTTCCCCTGCTTCCGTATTGTCGGTTGTAGTGCTTAGGAGTTTTAATAGCTCCACTTTCCTTGCTGTGGCAGGGTAGGGGATTTGTCGCCTCCTTAGTTCAGTGATGATGCGTGGGATCGTCCAGGATCTGATTGATGCTGGACTGGCAACATCTCCCCTACGATTATTATTTGAACCGAGTAGTTTAGTACTGGCTTGCTAGCTATGCCGTAAGGCAAAACCATTATGCTAATTGTTTTGGTGACAGGTGAGGTCCTGCTAGTTGCCAAGTGGCTTGAGAGGCTCTATCTATGCTTGGCGCAAGGGGATTTTTGTGGCCACCGAATGTTGTGGCAGGATGTTGGCCTCTCAGTGACTGTAAGCAGAGACATAGGAAGGGGAGTGACAGGTGAGGCCCTCTCTATGATACGTGCGAGGTGGCTAGCTCACGTGTGGCCCGAGGTGTGATAATTGTGATAAAATCAAATTAACTAATTAAGAATGATTGATTGATCACTAATGAGCAAATTAATCTATCATAGATAGTTAAGATGGCACATGGCTTAAACTGTGTCGCACTAAGAAATTCAACTTGTGTCGCACTAAGAAATTCAGCTTGTGTCGCACTAAGAAATTCAGCTATGATGACATTGCATAAAATGCTTAAACTGTGTCGCACTAAGAAATTCAATATTGCCTGGAATATTCCATAGCATGTCTGGCCAATATCCAAAAAGGCCCATGTGCTGAACAGAGGGAATTGGTGCCAACAAATGTATGGAAAGATAAGGGTGGTCACGACTGGCCTGATCAACCACACTGATGACCTAATGCGCATGACAAGATACATGCTGGGCTGCACTCATAAGAAATCTTGGAATAGTTACAAACTTGCTAAAAGGTATAAAAGACGGAGAAACTTGGCACTCACTTGGAGAACTACCCACCTGTAATGCGGACGCGTGTTGCTGATCTCTGCTGTTCCCAGAGAGGGTCCCTCCATGCCAACTGCCAGAGTTCCCCCAGTCACGTGCAGTGAAGACACAAGCCCCTCTAACGGTGATGTATACTTAAGCTAATATATACGGATGCTAAGCTGTTTTGAAGTGAATGCATGCAACTGCTTAATGAGAATTAAGCTTACTCTGTATTGGGTCCCCTTGTGGACAATAAATTGTGGTGTGAATTCTTATCTGCAACTTGGTCTCTGTGTGGTTTCTTTTTCCTATAGCCCAAGACACTCATCTCGAACTGGGTTGTGTGCCCACCAATATCGCTATAAACCTTATTAGGTAACTGATTATTACTTTTTGGATATTGGTGCTTCATGAATTTAATGATTAAGCACAACACGAGGGGTGTATGCCTCCGAGTTTGAGGTGGGGTGTTGGCCTCGCGGGACCACTAATCCGAAGCATAGTGCAGAGAAAGAGGAAAATTACCTATTGGGCCCTATGACCCTAATTGCCAGTACTTATGTCTATTCTGTGGGAGATTTAGTTATGGATATACTGTAAGCAGGTGTACGTACCTGGAAGTATAGTTTTGTAACCCGACAATCTGTATAGGTAGCAGTAGTACCTGTAACTAAATAGATGGAAACCGTATGAAAAAAATGACAAATGGCACAACCCATTTTTACCTTTATTATGTTTGGCTGTTTTGACCTGTAGAGGTCAGTGGAGATGATGTTTGTAGGATCTCCGTAAGTATGTACTTGCTGACCTGTAGGTGGCAGTGTTTGAGTTGTAGCATGGTGGACGTAATAATATGTAGCGTGAGTACTAAGTATTTAAACTTATGTGATGCCCGTAATTGATAAATTATGGAGTATCAGTAGGGTATGTACTATTATGGGGAGGGATGTATTTTGATGGTTATTGTAGTATGTATGATACAATAATTGTGTGGTATTTATTTGTAATAACTGGTTTACTTGTTATAATATATATCTGTATCCGTATACATGTAACAATACTTTAGTTGTTTGGTGTACATTTATGGGATTTATTGTTTGTAAAATTCCCCTGGTGACCATATTTGACGTGGTAGGTGGCAGTGTAGGTATAGATTATGTATAGATGTCAGTGGAGAGTTTGTAATATTTTATTAATAGTAATGTACTTGTTGACCTGTAGGTGGCAGTGTAGAGCCACTGTTATCATGTGTATTGTAAAGTAAGACATTTATAATTAACACATATCCATGGAACATATAAATAACCAGTAGTTAATACCGAAAAGACAATAAGGTTAAATCCCCCAAAACTTCATGTTCGTGCGTTTAACCGCACAAACTGTGTCTTTAGTGAATGAAAGATTAGTACTAACGTATCCTGTTCGTGCTGTGTAAACCACACGAACCGGCCATAAGTATCTAATAACAGACTAAAATTGTAAAACGGAACATGTGTATCTAAACTGTTCGTGCGTTTGAAGTGCACGAACGGAGATATTTTATACGAATGAGTTGACAGTGAAGTGTCCGAACGGGGAAATACATAGTAATACAATCCCGAAAAGCCTGAATGGGGAAAACATAGCGTGAGATATGCCCGAAATGTCCATTCTGCTGTATGGAGGGATAATGCACTTAACAGGATATTCTAGTGGGAGTATCCCTCTCGTACAGCAGTGCATGGTGGGAGAAATGCTCTGTATTTTCAGTTCCCCATGTTGTCATCTACTGTACAACCCCTGTAAAGTGACTAAGGAAAACCCTTGCATGGGGAATCACATAAATACTGGAGATGTGAATAAAATTGTCAGTTGACTCCCAGAACTGTGTTTCGTTCGGTTACTGGGGGATTTGGGATATTTCCTTCATTTCCAGCGCTTTACTTGGATCACTTTCTGTACCAGCGGAAATATTGGGATTTAACATTGCAGCTCCGCTACACGCCCCTCCTAAAATTATAGGCCAAACGACCTTAATACATATGATCTAAGTACTTTAATTACATTTATAAGGTGTTTTAAAACTTTATTTTAAATTTGAAAAATATTTTACAGGCTTTAGGGGGGCAGCCTGAGAGCTCAACAGTCCCCTTGCAGGCACTGCTATTCCGGCCATGTGATCCCAAGGACCCTGCGATCACATGGCCCGGGAGGGCTGGATCGGGCAGAGGGGGTCTGCCTGAGCTCCCTGGCAGACCCCAGGATTGTAAACACAGTTGGGGGATAGGCAGGGACTCGGTTGTTCTATGCCGCCCCCAAAAAAACGGCATAGAGCGCCCACCATCCTTAAGGGGTTAATTACTTTCATTTAAGTCCACCCCACCCCCATTTTTGGTGCATGTGCTCGTACCTCAGGTTGAGAAACCAGAAATTATACCACCTGCAAGATATAGTATGATATAAAGCAATTTCTTATGAGATCTGTTATAAGTGCTGCATTAATATCCTCCCAGTAGCCTTATTATGACAGTTTGGATAATGACAATGGCTGACACAAATAATAGTGGTGAGAAAATATTTATTTTCTTTTAAAGAGTCTGAAGAACAGCTTATTTTTTAATATTATGGTGTTTATTAAGCATATCAGGACCAACATAAAGCTAGGGAAAACAAAACAAAAACAAAACAAAAAACTTAATTTTAACAAAATGAAAATATGTTCAAAGATGACTGTGTAAACAGTGGTCTTTTTCTAAAGCATCCATAAATCAGTGTTAAGGCATACATGTTTACTATTCAGGTTATTATATTATTCTGCCATGTACCAGTCAAAAGTTCTATTTATGAACAAAATTAGAGATGCACTATTTGTAATAAGGAGATTGCTTGACTTGCACAGAGGTGTTATAGGGACGTCTTACTAATCACCAGATTTGATCAAAAAACACTTTAAAATTAAATCTAAAATAGCAGAGATGGACATAAGAATAGTAAACTTGACTTAAAGGGGAACAATCACTTTCTATTTTAGCACAATGCAAAAGCAAAATAAAAATTAGCCATTGCTTGTGCTATTTTTTTAATTTCTAGATTGCCAAGTATGGTAAAATATGTTTATTTAAATTACAGATTGAAGGTGAATGTGTGGCCTTCCTGAAAAAAATACCAACAGTGCATTCACACGTATAACATTTTCCGATTAGATACCTGAGCACAAACACACATATACAATGCATCATGGCATGGCAATATGGAACAGCAGCCGAGGTAAGTTTTTAGATTCCTCTCATGCATTATTCACACAAATGCTGCAATATAAGTTATGGGTATGAACAAAAAACTATGATTATCACATTTATAGAACAGTGTGTTTATTTTAGTGTAAATTTTGTAAATCGTTTTTTAAGTCACCTGAATCTTAGTGAGACAACCCCCAAAATATTATAATGCAAAGTAGCACAGCAGTAACTCTAACAGAACTTCATTATTTCAGTCTTGGTGCAACCGCGCTGACAGCAGGATCCAGCGGGCCCCGTGCTTCTCCTTATCCGTAGGTTGACATCTTCCTGTTCTTCTCCAACTAGCGGGTCATACAGGGATCCTCGTAGCTGCTCCATGGTGGGATCACTATGATGCAGACCAGGAGAGGAAGGATCGTGTGCTCCTTCAACGTAAACTGAGTTCAGGCGCTCAGGATCATCTATGAAATCTCTGTTCAGCCAGTCAAGTATATCACCTGCAACAGGGGGAACAGTCTTAGCTCAAGAGAGAAGCACCAACCTTTCTTTTAAATGTAATGATTCTCAGTAAAATTGTGCTTTTAGAATACAGTTGTTTATTGTAGTTGTACATGGATACACAAAAAGTGGATAGATCTATTAAAATCACTCACTGCTCTTGCTCTAGAGTTGCAAAGTTGTGCGTAAATCATATTAAAATGCTGCATTGACAGACTCCAAGCACCATGGCCATTTCAAAACACTGAAGTGGTCACTGTGCATATGTATAGCCCTTTAAATACCTTTATTTTAGAAATATATGCTTTAGCTGTATTTACTGTATGTGGGTGTAATGCCCAAATGTGGACATTCTTTTTACATTCTGTTGCCATTTTTAGTAACTCTAAAAACACATACAGTAAAGTTTTTGACAGTTTTTATTTATCTCTTTTGTCACACCTACTATATACAGGATAAAAATAGAATTTTTGCTTTCAAACTAACAATTCTGGAGTTTAGCCGTTCATGGGTGGGGCCTGGGGCCATGGCCATGCAGGATCACCCATTGCAAACTGGTATTTACTATATTGCTAATTCAGCTATGTACTGAACAACAAATTAGGTTTCCGGGTTACCATGAAAACGCATTGACTTATTAAATGACCATGGGCAAAATAAGTGTTTAAGTGGTCTGCACTCACTAGA